TGTCGTAGAGTGATATGAAATCAAAAGTAATCTCCATCACATTCCGCTTCTTGGTATACAGTTCAAAATGGATTGAGATAACTGATTAATAAAGGTCAATGTACGAAATGCGCCTGTCCGCTGGCCGCGTAATCAGAATGTCACTGGAAAGAGGGAATACGTGCACAATGTTAAGGAAAATCAATCGGTTTCGCGCAAAAAATGTCGGTGGAGGTGACCGTTTGGAGAAGGATTCTCTCTACTACTGTGATTTGTGACACTAAGTAACAGTTTAGATATCCTATGTAACTAAAATCCATAGCTCTTTGTAAGTGGGTTAGCTATAATACTTCTTCCAGAGACAAGAAAAAGGCTGTGATTTTGATACTTTATAAAAAACACAAAAACGAGATTAAACATGAAGGATGTTCTGAAGAAAAGCTATTCAATTTCAATAATAAAAAGCAGATAGAATGTGTCCCTGTTTAGACCAATCCTGCTGGGTTAAACATAAAATTGCAATACGAGAATAAATTACTAAAGCGGATGGTCAAAGAGAGTTGTGCTCGTTTTTACGCAGTGGCAACAAAAACAACAGACAGCTCGAGAGTGGCACAGCAGATACTCCCGATATTTCACTGTCATGCACCTAGTACGTTTCTAGGAACCTAGACAGAGTTTCAAGAACCTATTGTAATTATAACATGTAATATAAACACTTAAAATCAAAGGAACGCGGCGCTCAGCCATCGACCAACGGCGAGTTAAAAGTGTGCTTTTAGTCATATTATTTCTCCAAACCAATCTCGCTTGCGGATAGAAAATATAAACACACATCACTTATTGTGTCATATTTATTTTTCTTGAACGATCATAATGTGTATTAGACTATTAGTCAGAAAATCGAAACACGATTCGAAAATGCCCAGTCGATAAAACCCTGTTCGCACCCAAGCCACATAAAGTGCGTCCGTTTCTTGAATTATTCTCGTCGTAGAAACGCAACGTCATCACAACGTCGTTTCGCCGCAGCCACTCAGCCCGGACGATGGTTCAGCTGTCCTCGCAGGCGTGTTTTCTCCCTCCCCTTCGGCCTCGGGGGCTTTCTTATATGACTACTCTGCTTCCTGCCCCGCGGGTAAACAAATTGCGCCACTCTGCTGTATGGGGATCGATCGAGCGTGTTTGCATTCATCGAATCGCCCGCCTCGTTCTTCTGGCCGATGCGAGCCGCGCTGACCCCGCCCGAGGCGGTCGAGGCGCGTTCCGAGCCTCTCTTGTTTCGGGCTTGGAGCTGCCCTCCGCCGCCGCTTGGAGGCGTTCTCCGCGCCCGGCCTCGCCGCCCGCTGCCCGTCGCCAGGCTGTTCCGCAGCCTTCTCACCCCCTTTCGGCGATCGTATTCTGGCGAACTGCATGCGTGTGTTTACACCATGCTTTATATTGATCTAGAAGACTACCTAGTACGTTGCTGACATTCGCTCTTAGGCAAAGGTGAGAGTGGTATTCTATGAATTTTATTTCTTGCTTTACTTGAAAAAGAAGTAGAAGAAGACATATTGAAATCGTGCTCCGGAAAACAACGACTTTCCGACATTTTACTTATTGCCCGACTGTGGTGGTTGTATAGATACGGATAAATTTTGTTTCCGTGTATTTGGTGAACATTCAAATTCGTCTTTACGGTTTGTACATTTGTCTCGAATTATATTGGAATTTCAAAAGCAGAATTTTATAGACATTTTAGCATTCTTGTACCGCTTAATTGTGCTCGCTTTCATGCTTATTTAAGATTAATTTGAGTGAAAAAACTAAATTTTTAGCAATAAGCAACAATTATCATATACAAAATGCCGAGAACTTCTAATAATATGTTCGATTAATTAATGTTATAGAGTATACAGAATTATTTAACCCTGGCGTACTGTTCGAAATTAATATACCGCTGCGTTCCTCGGGTCTATGTGACCCTAACAGTTGTCTTGCATATGAATGCGTAGGCTTCCACGATTGGAGTCAGTATCTACTTGGATGACCGGGAGACGTCGCGTCCCAAGCACAGGTGCCCCCGTTTTGAGTGTCATGATGCGACCTTGTCGAGGGCAAAATGCATTTCTGCTTCAAATGGTCTTTTGGAGCTACATATTAATATTGTGAAATGTTATGATACAAAAACACAATTTCAATGTTCATTTAAGTAATTAATCCATTAGTACTTTAATAATTTCTAATAATTCGCACCAGAATAATACCCTGGTGATTTGCAAATATGTTTCATTTTAAATTCAACAAAAACTATATATTTTATGTCTATTATTTACAGGGTAACATTTGCACATGCCCATTCTGCAGCAGTTGTTGAAATTTCCATTTCTCAACACTGATATAGGTTATTATTTTGTTTGAAATGCCATTAACTCATTATAAGGGACTTGCTCAGATCCACCAAACGCTTTGTGTTAGTGTTTTTGCAATCTAATCAGGATTTACTAAAGTCCATAATGCAAAGATAATGCCAATCATATAACAGAGTGAGTGGGCAATGATTATTATCCTATTGCAAATCCCTATTGCAAATGAACTCATTTTAGGCTAATATGAACTACCAGTACCTTCTTTCATTTTATGGAAGTCTAAATTTAATTGTGTTTTGTGTGGCAGTGCTACTAAAATTATTTTGTCCTGATAAAATCCACTAAAATTCTGTTTTTTTCTTTCTTCGAACATTATTTACAACAAATAATTTGATGAAAAAGAAGTATTTTGAACTTTTATGTCACTTATTTGCGGACAAAGTTCTTCCTTAATTTTTCCATTTATCTCCAGAATAATCTTTTTTATTTTCGGTACTTTTCCAAATTCGATGACGTACAAAAATAATAGTACATAAAATAGTCATTGTGCGAACTACTTCCTAGATTAGAATGAACTCTCATTTCGAGGTTACGTTCTTCCTTAGCTTCAAGACGCAGGTGTAAACTTGCCTGTGCAAATTCATGTTATAAAAGTACTGCTTGTTATAGTTACATTTCTCGTACCCATTATACTAGTTTGCTTAATTTAGGACAATCGGGTTACATAGCATTTGTGACCAATACACATGTAACAATTATTTTTTTAGGAAAACTGTAACAAATACACAAAAAATTAACATACATACAAAGATATTTAAATATATAACCAAGTCACGAAGTATAAGAATGGTCACTAATCAAGCATACCTGTCTTCAAATTTATTTTTTGGTGACATAGACCCGAACATTGGTTTGGCTTAAGCTTGGTAAAAGATGCTATAATTAAATTTTATGAATTATTAAGATTGATATGGCATTTTGTTTTCCTTCAAGTCTTCTTCTTATTTAATGTTTTTGAGGATTCATTAATAATCCTAAATACCCAACTTCTAACTTCTTTTACTTTCCCTTCTTCGCTTTTCCTGTCTTCTTTCCCCATCTTCTTATACATCTTTCATTTTTCTCACTTTAAATTCACAATGTATTCTCAGTCCTCGAAGAAGTGCCGTCTGTGTCCGTAAGGCATATGAATGGTCCAGCCATCTCTCACTCTTTCTCAACGACTCTTACATTTGGCTCAACGTGCGCTGCTCCCCGGGGCACTCATATGTCCTGCATTGCCATTATTTTACACCGCCTCAAAAATAACGTCTATAAACGAATGCCACGCAG